TATTATTTATTATTATTATTATTTATTATTTATTTTTTCTTATTTCTTATTTCTTATTATTTCTTATTATTGTTGACACATCATTATCTATTTCTTTTTACCAATAATCTATTAGGTCTGCAGTGCTTGGATTGCTAGTGGTATTGCTAGAGACCTTAATGATGTTCGCCGCATCCAACAGCTACTCGTCACTAAGCTGTCCAAATTTAGTGTCAGTAAAGAAGCGGCACTGCAGTTGTATAACGAAGCAGCTACCACCATGGAGAAGCTAGCTGTGTTGAAAGCTTGGGCAGAGGTGAGGGAAGAAAAAGGAAAGATATTGCTTTCATAGAGCGGGTTTCAAATGTTTTTATTTTTACACACACATAAAAAAAATAAACCTTACAAAATAAAGATAATGTATAAAATGGAAAGGTGCAGAAAAAACAAATCTAAGAATTAACCAAAATCATGTTTTGTCTCTCCTTTTTAGGTGTATATTGTAGCCATGAAGCAAAAGTCTTCACCACCAGAGCCAAAGCCAGAAGGAGAAGAATTAGCCGAGCCACMTGGTTCATTGCTTCAACTTGTAGAACCGGAGCTTAAATCCTTGAGTAAATACTGGCTTGGGGCACTGAAGGACCACGCCCTTTTGACATTACCCCCCGAGTATGGACCACAGATGCCTGCACAGGGAGGGATGTTCTACAGGTAGTTATAAAATAACGGTTATAAATCACACTTATCTYGTGCTCTGTCAATCCCCGCGTGCTTTATAACGACTACACACACTGCATGCGCGCGTGTAACTTTGTATTCCTCAGTTTCATAGATTATGGGAGCCTTACTCACGAGGTAGCCATGTTTATTCTCATGGGAACAAAAACCTTTTTCTCAAGCGCTTGAATGCGAAATTACGCATGGGAAAATCTATTGTCAACATGGCTGCCTCGCAAGCAATGGCCATTGCAGAATGTAAGCCACATTTTGTGAAAATAAGAAGGCATGATTGAAAAGGAAATTGATTTTCATAACTTGAAATCATATTTGGACCATCTTTTCCGTTACTGCATTCTGCGCAGCGCATTTCATTTTATGCCCTTCAATCAAAACTATCATGTTGCACTAACTCTTATAGAGTTGAGCTGCGCAATAAAATTTGTTTTGATGTCGTGTATGCGGGACTAATTGGTCAATAACACTACAAACCTGTTATTTCTTCAGTCCTGACTCGATGGATCAAGCCCGCCCTCATTACAGAAACTGCTGGCCTTCGTTAGTCCACGCGACAGCACTGTGGCTCAATAATGGCGGCTTTGAGATGACCAAAGACGAGCCCGTACAAAATGATACAGGTAAGTCACGTGAGATGACGTGATCATTCTGACAGCCTAACAGATCCTCGCCTTTCTCTTAAGTTCGATGTAGCGCTTGCTCACTGCAATATTAGGGACTTTAACATTTGCAAAATCTACGACGGCGACGTCAACCGGAAGTGTAAATAATTTCTCTTTGGGGTTTGTTCATTGGAGATTAAATTCAAAACATTGTCAGGAAATTCAACTCATCCACAGGGAAGACAGACTTTGAGGGCGCGAAACCCCAAAGTGTAGTTATTTATACTTCCGGTAGACGTCGCCATAGTAGATTTTGAAAATCTTAAAGTCCATACTATGAGCTGTTTTCATGTTTACGGGAATCAAAGAATGTATACCGGTAGTGCCCGACGCGTCTCTCACCTCTGAGCTCTCAGATTCAATTCCTGAACTTGGCATCACATGTGAGTAAAGTTTGTAGGGTCTCTCCCTTGATTCAAGGGTTTTCTCCGGATTCTCCGGTTTTCCTCTCGAGCTCTCCAAAACCTAACATGCTAAATTACAAATTGATCTGTGAGTTAGCTCTTTGCCCTGACTTGGATCAGCTCAGAGGTGTTTTAGGGTATCGATGAAATTTGAAGGTTCCTGATACTGCTCCAATCTCTAGATTTCACAGGTTTCTCCGGCGTTTCCATGGTAACAACAGCAAAGACCCCGTCAGAGATCAACAAGGATCGATTTCACTTATTGGTTGGTATATGTATGGAGTCGCTGTGTTCATCTCGATCAACACAGTCTAATGCTACTGTGTCAGCCTGCTTACACGCCTTTTATAGTCTGCTGGACTCTCCCAAACAACGTGTTATCATCGGAACCGAGCAGGTAAGCATTACAATTTAACGCTGGGTTTCCTGTGTTAACGGAGATGGGAAACACCAATGGCTCCAGTTTCTAGTTCTTTGTTGCTCAGGGTTAGTCTCGATTTTGTGGATCATATTCATGTATTCCAGTGAAGGTCCCTTGAATTTCAAAGTGTTTTTATCTTTGAGGTTGTGCATTTTTCACTAGTCGTTGGTATTTTTCAATATTTAGACTGAGTCGAGGCTAAGCGTGAGTAAATGAGTCTGTAATCAAGGAACACAGCGCGGTAATGTAGAACTCCAAAAAGGTCTTTTCGAAACGGACTGGAGTAAGCTGGCTGAACCGGTCTTGAAAATTTCATCATACTGCAATAACGGGGAGATTCTCCCAGTCATGTATATTTAACTAAAAGCTTATAATTTACCATTTAACGATTTCCACACCGGGGGGGGGGAGGAGGGGAGATGTTTCACCAATCAGAGTGTGCCTTATATCTTGGATATTTTGTGATTCGATTTAGATGTTAGCAGTAGAGATGTTGAACGTTCTACATCGTATCATGTTGACCAGAGACACACATGATATCCAGACGTCCGTGATCGATGTTGTTCAGCAAATCACAAAGGCGATGCAGGAAGCCCAACAGAGTCGACTCGAGGCCTCTAGGTACGTCACTTCCGCTAATGATATAATACCAGTTATCCAACGAAAAGTGATGGTGGAATAATGAAATAATGATGGTGGGGTAATGATGTTGATGCCTGTATCCCATTTTGATCCCATTCATATATCTCATTTTGCATTCTCAGGTTTACGAACCTTCCATTCATATCACACTTTCAGGTTTTCAAACCTCCTACTCATATTTCATTTCCCATTTCCAGGTTTGCAAACGGTGAAGAGAAAATAAGCTTAGGTGAAGAGAACTTGTCACCAGGCAAGTCAGTGGTTTTTGGAATCATGGAGATTTGTATGTGTGTCCTGACAAGACACTTTCCTGTTCTTGTTCCTCCGTCGCCCACGATAAAACGAAGCAGCGGTCTTTTGGTCTCTGTAAACTCAGGCAGTAAAGGTAAAATTTGAAACAACCATGAACATTRCCATTCTTCGTTCTTTCTTAGTCGTCAGTAAAGGGTTTGCACCATCTCACGCCCATAATGCAGCTTGTGCTGTCTGTGGTTAGATGGCAGGGCAATAAAATCCCTTTCTCTTATGGAATTGAATTATTTCTCTTGTAAAACGATTGTATTGTTCCTGCAATCTAACATGGCTACCGTCACGTGAAGGTGCAAAACCTATGTTGAATTTACTCCAACTCTTGCACCTTATCAATTTTACTTCCTCTTGATACTTTTTCTACTTCCGGGTGAAGAGCCACGCTGACCGAAAAGAGCGAAGGCTCCAAATGAGCTTTTCCAAAGGGATACCGCCATCTAACGATCTAAAACTCAAAAAAGTTCTCATTACTCCTCCATCGCGGATCTAATGCATTAAAAAATTTCATTTCATTAAAAAAATATGAGAAATCTTTCTAGTGTGATTTAGCAGTCTAGCCAAACAAAATGCCTTTTAAGACAAGCCAATCAACCCTTAAATTTGTGAACGGGTTTGAATCACTATATAACCCACACCAAAGCCCATTATATTATCATAGTAAACTAAACACACAAGACCGATATCAGGGAAATTCAAAATAATCAACAATTTTTAATCCAATGTTTTGCATTTGCCGCTTAAAAGGTTTCTCTCTGGGAGGTGAAATAACATTTTAATGGAAGAAAAATTGTTTAAAAATAGCAGGGGAAAAAAGAAATAAAGTGTTAAGAGCTGTGTTCGAGACAGAAATGCCTAATAATAWTTTTTTTTCCTGCGTTTCATATGTCTTAAATCCCCCAAATTATCTATATACACTTATTCTATCAGAGTTATATTATCAGAGGCTTTGCTAGTAGAAAAGATTTGGTGTAACAATATTAACAATTTGCCAATACCCTGACATCATATCCATGGCTTTGAATACCCTTATCTTTTAATCTCACAAAGTAAAAGAATGAGTCCCCATCACAAAGACTTCGACTTGGTACTTTTATTGGCCACACACAAAACTGATGTCTTACTTTAATTACTTAGAATTTTATCTTTTCGTTTGCCAAAGGAGTATCCTAAACGCCATGAATTTTGTCATAACATGTGGCGTCCTGTTGTTTTTCCAACGCGCAAGACTTCACTTATATTTTCTCAAATTAATTCTCATGAACCAATCTCGCTCGTTCTTTTTTCCGTTGTTGAATTCAATTTTGAAGTCTCGTGTTGTGTTGTTGTATTCTCCACCTTTCTAAACGTTAGAATTTATTTTCAAATTGCATCACGCTGGTAGTTTCATTCTTGTTGCTGCGCTTGTTAATTGTTTAAATTTTCTCTACGTCCGGTCTTCACGTAATGACCTCGCTTCTCCATACTTACTTCACTTACGATTAACATAACCTTCTGCTGTAAATAAAACGCTTGAAGGAAAAAGCCTCACCAGATTCCAGATTTTTCACCTCGTCTTTAGAATTTCTCCTAATTACTTTTTTTCATATATTGTTTCTCAAATTTATGTAAAAAGCTTTTCAAAGTGACCATCGAAAATTCCTTCCAACTTTTCCGGTAATTTTTCCTATCACTGTCAAATTATATTGTTTACTCTTTGAAACCATTTATGTTTGAAAAATGAATTTCAGACTCACAAGGAGAAACTTCCCTTCATAAAAAGATCAAAAATTTATTATTCAATACATTTTTTTTTCGCCAAACAAAATCAGTCTCTAGTATCAATTTAAACAATGTTTTCACTTTCCTCCTTTTTTTTTCTTCTGTGAGTTTATATTGAAAAGACATGCATATGAAATCACCTTTTAGTTCATCGAAAACGAATATATGAAACTAATATGGAGTTAACTCTCTAAGATAAGAAGTCTCATGGTAAGAAAAATCGCCTCACAAGAGAAAAAAAACCTGTAATCCTAGAAGATATTTTTACCAAAGGATTTTCCAGCAAAAAAATCGGACTGATTTCGTTTTCTTCCCATGTTAGTAAGATTAGCATATTTTCCCGCCAAGTTTGTCGGGTAATTTGAATTATGTATAACTTAAGATGTGAGTAATATCCGTTTAGTTGGTTTATTAATCGTTCAGCAATATTCAAACCAGAGAAATTTTTGTCTGTAAATCCAAGTACGGTTCGGGTTGATGATTTGATTTGTGGAACTACTTTCATATTGATTTCAAAACTTCGCGTTGAGAAAGATGACGATTTTACTTTGACTGGTTTGATTCAAGTGAAACTTCACATCAAAATTTTCATTTATTTTATTGAAACTGCCACGGGTTTTGTGTTGTCGTTTTTTGTATTCATCTTTTTTGACGCACACCGTACGTTTTTGGCGCTAAAAGAAATTACCAAGTTGAACCATTTGAGACGTCGGGCTTACTAGATCTGTTTGTGAGGCTAGAGCATCATCAATATCTCACTTCTTAAGTTGATTGAGCGAATCCCATGGATTCCTTGAATGCTAGTTTGACTGTCTTGTTGTATGTACTAAAGCTACTAAGTGCGGAGTTAGTCGATGGATACTGCTATGGAAACTCGCAATGCATCGCAAACCGTACTTGCTGTTTGGGCTCCTGTATACAAAGCTATTCTTGCCAAGGATATTGTCGAAACAACTGGGATTGCCCTAATAATCAACCAGTCTGCGATCTCAAGAATAACAAGTGTACTTCTGGGTGTTTTACGGCCAGTGATTGCCCGACTAGTTTCGCGTGTGTGTCGGGATCTTGCGAAAAGAAGTGGCGACATGGTAGCTCAGATCTTAAGAAAGACATCTCCGTAGAACCTTTCTCAAACATCGAGGAATCGAGTTCTATTTTAGGCCTGATGATAGCTGGTATTGTCGCTTTTATATTTTTTGCGTGGATCTGTTGTCAATGTTTTCGTTTTCGTCTAAGAAGACAAGAACTACAACTTCGTGGTTATCGCTTCGACGAACCTAGTCCAACGTCTCCGATCAACAGCAATGTTTGTGATCACAACTTTTTTCACGAGCCCAATAGCTTGACTTACTACGCTGACCGAAATAGCGCACGTTTTGAGAGTATATATAGTCGATCATCGTGCCGATTATCTCTTGATGGACCTCCTCGTTACAGCGCGCTATTTCTTGACCAGGGTACTAGCGACGCTAGGACACCTCCTCCAACGTACGACGAAGCGCTACAAATTGTACAACTTACTACTACATGTACTAGTCCTAGCTCTAGTCCGAGAACAAATGTTTCCACACAGGTGCCAAGTCCTCAAGGGATTGGCACCGTAGTATAGCGTACAAATAATCATTGATTTTTACCAGCTAAAAAAAGCACCTTGGAAAAAGTTCAGATTTACGGGTTTTTTGAATGCTCTTTATATTTCGGAAACGTTTAAAATTAGGATTTAAATTAATGAGACAAGCAGACTTTTTCGTTCTTTTTGAGTCTGAAATATTGAAATATAGACTAAGTCGCATGGCTCCTACCAGATTAAAGCTTTTTCACTATCATTTTCTAAAAATAAAAGAAAATATATGATTGTCAAGTGTTCATTCATTTTGACCTATTGCTCCCTTTCATTTATTTTGATACCAAAATTTTCAAAAAAATTGAGAGTCTGATTTCAACCTTTATTTTTTGGTCTATCCATTCATTTACTTTATCCTATCAAGCTTGGTTCGTGCATTAAAAACTAAATTCGTGAAAGATTTGATAAACTAGGCTTATTTTTCCTTGCTAATTCTTAAATAGCAGTGCGTCCATATACACTAATATAGTAAAAAATAAACAACGCCAGCCTAATGCTATACAAATTAATTTTAATTTTTCTATAAAGCTGGTTCTTTAGCAGTTGCGTTTACACTATATATTTTTTAATTGTTTGATATTTCACAAATATCTTCGTTTACTGATGAAAACGTTTTTTTCCCTAACAATTTCGCACAATATCAAAAAAGAAGTATTATTATTACAAGGTTTATCACAAAGCTCTCTAATTTTTTTGTTTTCTTTTCTTGTTTTCTTCTTCAAACGTCATTAACAAGGTCTCGAAATCAAATTATAAATTTTCAAAAAGGTTGTTAAAATACTGTCATTCCCAAGACTTTAAATCCAAAATGGAAATAATTTCATTGATTCTCAATAATTTTGGCCGTTTTTTCTAATTGTTTTTGTTTATTCAGAATGAAAAAATTCGCCAAAAGTATTGTAATTATGAATCATGTTTTTAGCATTTGTTTTGTTTTAAGACTACTCTGAGTTTCTTCCTTTTTTGTCTAGAAAACTAATTGACTTATTAATTTATTCATGATGTTAAAACAAAATTCCTTGGACTTAACCAATGCTTTTGAAGAAAACTTAAAGCGATTTAGTAATCCTAAGTCTACCTCAAGTTAAAAGTGGAAATACTAAAAGCTCTAAAGCAGATAGATATCGAAACGTAAAAGCTACTAAACTAAATCCTTAAGTTTTCTGTTGTTTTTGCAATTCAAAGTTGATATTGTTCACCGGCCAGTGAATTGAATACTCGTTCGTTTATTGTTTGTGAGTCTTTTTAATATTATGCTATTCAATCATTTTCGAGCTCAAACGTTTGTGTTTTTTTTATTACTGTACGTTCGAATTTATTTTTTCTATTGGCTGTGATGGAAAAGCTATTCGATTTTTTTTTCAGGTCCATCTCGTCAAAAATTTTATATCGTATAAAGTGACAGGGCAGTTTTCTTAATCGCAATTTATTTCAGTTTCATAAAGCCCTGTTGAAAAACTTCCGTTTTCATCAAGAATGGCCTTTCATTGTTTTCTAAATACACTCGATGTGTCTTCATTAGACAGAGAGTGAATCAATAGAATCATTCAGCAATCAGAAAATATCGTGTGTCGTGATGATAGTATTCTTTTTACTAGCGCTTTTTCAATCGATAATTTTTCCAATTGTATTTTTTTATTGATTTTTTTTTTTTTTTTTATTGATTTTTTTTGAAAACGGCGTTTTTCATTAAGAAAAAAACTTTCATTGTAAAATAAACAATTTGTCCTATTAATATCGTTTAGCCCGGCCTTTTTTCCCTCTCAGTCTGAACAATTTCTCATTGACAGTGTTTAATACAAGACTCGCTCATGGCTTCAACTTATCTCAATCTTGACAGACAAATATCTGTTACCGGTTGTCGCTCTTCCGTTCTCTGCAGGTTGCTTAATACTCTTTCAAACCCAGCCATGTTATTAAACTAAAAGATGATGGTTTTAGAATAGGCGCTTCTAGGCGAAAAGCCCTTGAAGGCATTTCAGCGCCCCACGTATCAAACGAAGTCAAGATAAATAAATAAGACTCAGACGACTTGAATTTTTTCATCAATCCCATCTTTCTCTCACTAATTTACTCCAGTTTTTTCCATATATTTACCGTATTTAGCTCAAAATGATTTCAAAAATGCCCATAACAGGTTAACTTTTAATAAAACTAGTTACAAGATTTGATCCTTAGTCGAGAAATCGCGAATTAGCGTATTTAGTCAGAGTTGTTTAGTTTAGTTTAAAGGATCTTATGTCAAAGAAAAGCTACAATCAAGCACTTTGATGCTTTTAAAATGCTTATTGAAAAACGCTCAACTCATTCAACAACATCAAAGCCAACAAGCTAAATCTTGAGACTGTCCGGTCTTCCGATAGGCTTTTCAGGTCGTTGTTGATATTCAAAATATTACTATATTATTATTAAAGTATATTTATCATTTTTCGCGCAGTAGCCTCGAGAATCGTATGGCGTTTAATGTATATGGAGGCTGAACGCAGAATGACAAACAAATCAAGAATGAGAAATTTGAATATATTTGTTACTGGAACCAAAAGATTGGTGACGCAAAAAGCCGAAATGGAACGGAAACAAGCGCAAGGATAAAATACACTTAAAAGATGGCAATGCGTTTCTTATTTTTTCAGACTAAAATCGAGTGAAAAACTTTACATAGAAAAAGAAAAAAAGCTTTCCTTCCCGAGCAATTATACTATATTATATTCAGGATTATACTCAGGATTTGTAGTGAAGCCGATAATGGCCATCGTCTAGCTGTCTCCTTTGCAACACGATATCGATTCCCGAAACCGGCTATATATGTGACTAACGTTTATTATTTCCCTATTAGCTTCGAGGGGTTTCTTCAGACGGTATCCCCAAGAAGTTCTCCTCAATTCCAATTCGTTCATAAAACGGGGGTCACAGGTTTCGTGAATCAAAGACTATTTATTAATTAACTGTTTTGACGGCCATATTCTTCCTCGTGGAAATAGTAATAGCTCTTCATTCCGTGGTCTTGAATATTGCTTCCGAAAGATCTCTCACATCAACAAAGGATCCAGATAAGCGTTAATCTGGCGCCCCTTATCTGGTATGCACATGTTTTCCCAACTTTGTTTTATCAAGTCTTACGATAGTAAGATATCGTAGCTTTTTGTCGCGGAGTTGGTAGACGAATATACCCTTTCAGCTTTGGCATATGTTATTTCATTTCAGGCCACATGTCATTCCCTGGATTATCTTTTTATTGTTTAACATGTGAGAAGACACGCATTAATATTTACTAAGTATCGGGCTCAGGGCATAATATTCAGGATATATRAATATCGATACGACTATAACAAAGAATCCTATTCTCTAGGGAATGACACGTGATCTGTAATGGGAGAACACTCCCAAAGTAATAATCCTTTTTAAACCACTACCACCCGGTCTTGAAACCTTTTGAAACGCCGCCTTCCGCGGAAAAATAGATTTGCCCCATTAAATCTAATAGAAAAATTAGGAAGTCGGAAAAAATAAGGTGCTCCAGATCTTGCTTTGATTTTTAAAGTTGCACGGAAACTTTGACGACATGAACCGCCTTACCCTACCCCTCTGTATGCAGGAATTTGTCAGAAAACTGCCTGTCTACTCTCCATTTAACCTCTCTCCCATCCCTCATCCCCAAAAGAGTATTTTTTGAAAAGGAGAAATGCGTGACTTACTTGATAAAAGTAAAGTGCATCTTCCGAAAATCAAGACGAAGAAGCATCGAGCCCTTCTGTAAAAGCATGGTGCTTGGCCATTGTAGACAAACTGATAAACACTACGATTCTGATGTTATTTGGTCATTTAAAAATTCTATAAATAACAATTTTGAAGAGATTAACACCAACTAATATTAATGCCTACATCTGTAAATACAAATTAGCGCCTTTGATTTTCATTAAATACGCCTTTGGCATTCTCACAAACACAGTACAAGCATGCGCAGTGCAATTTTGTACTCTTAGGAAAAAAGGCCCTGGTCGGGGGGTAGACTTGGCTCGAACTCTACATTCACATCGTTTAATGGCATTTCGTGCCCTTTAATAGACCCCTTCACAGTTCCCTGCGCCATCTTGAAAGATAGCCGTGCCTTTGCATCGAAGCGAGACGAACGGTGAGCTTGCAATGATAGAGACATGTGAATAATTGTTCAAGGTGTTAAAAAAGGTCTCTATCATTGCAAGCCTCTGTTATCCGGCCAACCTTTATTTAGCGGGCACTACGTGATGGACGTCACGTCAGGAAGCAGGAACGATTGAGTTGGGTGTAATTTAATTCACTTGAGGAAGAATTCATTTTCCCAGCGGAAAAGACTATTGATGTGCCTCCTGTCTTGTCACCTCATCCAGCGTTCATCTCGCTTGGTCCTGGGGATGACAAGAAATTAATTGCACGATTATTTTGATCTCTATTAATCATTTCCGCTCTCTACAGGATTCTCAGAGGACACGTCCAAACTCATTTCCAACGCAGTTTCTGCCATTGCTCTCGTCCCAGGACTCTGCTCACCAAAAGCATCAGTGGCAGTGTTGCCTAGTGTACTGTTCCTGGTAACGAATGTCCTACGCGAGGTGACGTCGACGAGCGGTCCTGGGTCACATATCATCGTGCCTTCAGCACTTCAAGCATTTAAATTGTTGACTCGTTCCCAATACGCCGTTGATCCTTGCTGTTCGCAAGAATGGATCGGGCTTCTTCGAAGGTTTGTTTTCTCATCAAGGTTTTACTGACAAAAACTTCTTAGTCTCCCCAGCAGCCGTTCTGTGTCGTCACATAACGCTCCCTCTTGTCGCGTGATGCACCCTCCTGGCGAGAGAGCGTTACGTGACGACAATAAGAACGGTTGCGGGGGAGACTCGTACAGATACCCTTAATAAGTTGACCTGATATGTATTGGAATCAATACAACGTTAAGGACTTGCGTGACATACCATGACTTGCGCAAAACATCGATTGCGACATCAGTGTCCGCCTCTTTTTACTTGGTGCCGTTATACTGATAACTTGATTTAAACAAATTTGGCGGATATTTTTAAAACGCCCATTCAGATTAGGCTTTATATTTTTGCCTTTTTTTCTTTTAAAATTGAGTATTGATTTGTGGTTTACCTGATGGCAGCCATGACAGGAGGCAGGAACGATTGAATCTGGTGTAATCTGATTTACATGAGAAATAATTCCGTTTCCCAGGGAGGGGGGACTCTTATTGTTCCTGCCAGCTATCATGGCTGCCATCACGTGATGGTGCAAAGCCTCTATCGCACTAAGGGACTAGTCATTATTTAAGTCAGAGGGGAGGGGGGGGGGGGGAGGAGAAAATGTTTTTGATCCAAAAACTTTACCCCCTTCAATTGTTTAAAAAAATCCTCCCAATCCTTCTTTTGACCTTTCAAGGCCCCCCATGTTCCACTAAAAAAATTTGAGGGCCCCGCATTTTCTTCTCCACCCTTCCCCCCTTCGACTCAAATAGTGACTGGTCCCTCCCTAAAGTACTAGGTGTTTACTCTTGCCTAACTAGTGTCCTGCTCTAACACTGTTTTCCTGTTCTCTCATTTAGTGCTCTAGCGACCATTCTAGACGCAGCCAAAGCCGATCAAGTCGAATTTCCCTCTAAAGAAATGGGTGCGACATTGGATGACTCTGTTGTCATGTTGGCTTTGGCTATCTTTATCCTGTCTGCACCAAGAGATGTTATTTTAGCAGGAAACTTGCTAGAACAGTCTTTGAATGTGTTTCGTCGATGCATTAAGTCCACAGACTCTAAGGTAGGCTAATAATGAGGTAATCAAAATTATCATCCACCACCACTATCCACCATCATCCACCATCACCTACCATCACCTACCATCATCCACCATCACCTACCATCATCCACCATCACCTACTATCATCCACCATCACCTACCATCATCCACCATCAACTACCATCATCTACCATCAACTACCATCATCCACCATCACCATCAACCGTCATCCACCATCACCTACCATCATCCACCATCACCTACCATCATCC